CATCAACCCATTTCATGAAGAAGAAGGTTGTACATTGACCATCGTGAACTTAACAGAACGACGACGAGAGGAGGCTTTGCGATAAGATCTCGAAGTGTGAAATTTTGGTAGGGAAGGTGGTTTAATCTCGTTTAGGACCGCTGACACGATTAGCTATGTGGGTCGGCCGACGCTTGTGGTGGGAAGGGTCAAGACGAGCTAGCCGTTTGAGAGCTCAGCAGGAGATGCTGATTTTTAAGGATACTCGGTTAGAGATCAAAATAACAGAGTAGTCATGTGTCGCTAGTGGTGTTTGGCATCATTAGTCGCGGGACCCACTCTGCGACTTAGGGTTGTACCGAGCAACTTAGTGATAATTTCTTATGCAACTGGCGAGAGTTTTCTCGAGTTAAAGGCATCAAACGAGGCCTTGATGTTCGAGTAGAGGCTATACGTTCTGAAGCTGCCGAAACTGCGGAGAGAATTGTAGAAGAGATAGTCCGAATAGCCGACGGGTGGCCGAGGTTGTGAGCAAAAATCCCATATGTGCCTCCTTGCTTCTAGGTTCCTGTAGTGCGGTAATTACTCTAAGCCGGTGATAGAATTCTTTTAGGAAATTTTTTAATCATTGAATATTTGTGTGAGGAATTGTGTTGATTTGTGAAAAATAGTGAACTTCGAGCATAAATAATTCATGCAATTCTAAATTAAGCCCATGCATAAAGCAATAATTAATCACATGTATAACTATTAATAGATCTAATATAATTTATAGAAATAAATCCACTATTATGTCCTCTTAATTGATGATTCTCCTTAAAAAAGGAAACTATCACATAGGATCTTCTGATTTTCCTAATTCACTTGAAACTCTTAATGAAGTAGAATCCTATCAGATCTTCAACTCTTGTCCAACAAGAATTCTCCTTGGCTCGCCGGAGGGTCGCCGCACGCTGCCGCCTGTCGCCTGTCGTTGTCGCTGTGAAGATTGCCGAAAAGAATTTTTTCGCGCCCGATCGTCGCGTGCCTGCTGCCGCTGTGCCAGGTCGCCTGCGCCGTCGAGCGAGATTATCGCGCGTATGCCGACGCTGCGCTAAAATTGCGTGGCTAGCCGCGCGCTTCACCCGACGACGTGCACTACCTCCAGTCGCCTGCTTGTGGCGCCCTATGCGTGTGATACCAGATCTGCCGCGCGCCTCGCGACCCGATCACCATGCCTTGCGCCACCGCGTCCAAGGCCTTTCGTCGAGGCTTCAAGGCCATCGCCCCCAGCCAGGGATCTCCGGCCACCGTGTGTTGCGCCCCTGGGCACCTGGCAATAAGTTGTCGTGCTCCTGCGCATGTACGCGACCGATCGCTACTGTAGCCATGGTCCGAGCCCCTTCGGGTGACAAGGTCCGTGGTCATGGTGATCTCCCGCTTGTTCGCACACGATCACGATCAAGATCAAAATATAATTAAAACTAAAAATACATAATTTGATCCTAGACCCACGAATGAATTTACATGTTCAACTAAACATATAATTATATCAGGTGCTCCACCGGGCGAATAACCATCAAAATCCTCGATATGCCCGAGGCTTTAAAAACTAATTAACAATATACATCAAACACATATTTGGCCATAATGTTGGATTAAACTAATTCCTGCAAAATCGAGTTATGTGAATATAATCCAATATATAGTTGCGTTTGAACACATGTTGTCACATTAATCCGTAAAATTTGAATTTTGTACAAAACGAATTACTGTGGGCTTTGGTACTACTTGGTTGGACCGGTGAAGATCTCGTTATGTACAAGTCAAATTCAAACAACAACAATAAACCTCAGCGCAATGGATCTAGAGGTTTAACGTTGAAAATTTACGGCTTAAAATCCGAAGACTTTGAGATGTAGATTTTTGCTGTGGATCTAGAGGTTTAACGTTGAAAATTTACGGCTTAAAATCCGAAGACTTTGAGATGTAGATTTTTGCTGTAGAAGATCGTCTGAACTCAGAATCCATTGGGCAATCGGATTGCTTCTCGTTAGACGTAGAGAAGCTCGTCGAGCGCGTCGTCGGGTCACAGCGGTTCGCGCGTCGTCGTCGTGGGGTCGCGGGGAGCGTGAGATAGTCGGGTGGTTGTGGCTGCGAGCGAGGGGCTGCCTGACGTGGCCGTCGAAGATGTGCGCAGCTGCTACTGCCGCGTCGCGGTGGCTCGCAAGGGGATCGTCGGGTTGCGTGCACTTGTTGCGGCTCGCTTGTGGTGGTCGTCTTGGGGGGGGGGGGCTCGCGTGCGGTGGTTGATATCGGGGTCTCGGTTACCTTGAGATCTTCTTCTATATTTCCTGACACCTCTCTATTTGTCATAGCGGAGCATATGCATTACTTAGTTTTGCGTTACAATTAATCCACTGTTATGGCCTTACTTGTTTAATTTTACTGCACGTTTTTAAAGCCCAGACATGTCGAGAAATTTTAGATTCTGATTGCTTGGAATAAATTTATTTGGAACCCCGTATAGATTTATCGCGTTAGACGAGCGTGTAAACCCATCCGTGTGTATACTAGCAATTTTGTAAAATTAGTACAATTTTGATCTTGTTGGTTGCAAATGAGCTCGGGCGATAAGGACCGTGGACCTCGACGACCTGATCAGCTGCGGCTCTACGACGGCCACCTCGACACGGTCGTGAATAGCCGCGCTTAGGCTGTCATGTTGGAGTATACTGTAGAAGCTCGGCTTTGTGTTACTCACAATTCCATTTTGAATGAGGTTCATGTCTTTTAGTCAGGTGTATATTGTAGTCTATTTATTTACGCGAACATGATTCATCTATTTTACATTGTAGATAATATGGTTTGATATGAGTCGAGCGTGTAAAGATCATATTATCGCTATCTTGTAAAATACAGTTTTTGTTCACAACCCTATAGAATTGAACTAACTGTCGAGAAAGGTTGTAGTCTGATTTTCGAGTTAATTGATCTTTGACTAACGAATTACACTAGTACATCTCGGATGTACTGAACGGACTTACAGTTGGATAAGATTATTTTATATCTACCAAGTAAATAATCTAGACCCAGTAATTATTGCATTCTCTTAACTGTAAGACAAGAAACGAACATATGCATTCAACACTTATTTGATTTACCAAGGGCAATATCTATTCTGTTAGGTTGACATACTAGGTATTTTGGTAAGTGATGTTGTTTACATGATATGCCGTTAAATTCTTTTACAGTCGCGTTTGCCCGGTTGATGACGTAAATGAGCTTAAGAAGGATTATTATGTTAAACCCAGCCGGTGGATTAATTTCTAATATAATAATGAGTGGTACTAATTTCGAAGTTGGTTAATTATATTGTCAGTAATCAAATTAATCTATGGACGTTATATCTTAAATATGGGGAGATCGAGCAATTAGTCGGTAGACGAATTAATTGTAATTTCGGAGCTAAATAGGAGTGCAATAATTTACTATAGTGGAATAGTGGAATGTTCTATTATTCAAGTGTGGATGCAAAGTTGGGCATGGGCCCACTTGTTGTGTTCACACTTGGAAGCCCATATTTAACACCTCTTTAGGGTTCCCGTTCTAGCATATAAATACACCAAGTCCCTTAGCCTCCATCGTAATGTTCCACACGTGAGTTCTGAATGTGAGATCACTTTTCTTCTCTTTGGAAAATTTGGATAAAACCGAAAGGTCTTAGGAGAAAAAATCAAGAGGCTTTGGGAGTTCTGTTTAATTGCACCACCAAGACTATTCGGAGAAGGTGTAAAGGTTATACAACAGAAGATCCCTAAGACTTGCTTTTGCATATCGACGAATATATATGTCCTCTTGACACATTGGATGACCACAAAACTTTGAGAGCACTACCACCGGAGGCAAATGCATCCATTGGCTTGATCAACTTCGTTAGCCCAGCCCCACGCATAGCCGCCGGTTCGCCACGCGCCGCTGCAGGTTACCCGTGCACAGCCGCAAGCGACTGCGCGTAGTCTATGCTGACCGCAAAGTACCCAGCGACCATGCAGGCAGCATGCTCGACACCTACAGACGCAGTATGCAGCAAGCAAACGCCGCATGCAACCGCAGACGACCCCCGTGCAGCCACAACTTGACTCGGTACACTGCGCTCAACCCGCGCACATCTCGCGCCTCTTGGATTGATTAAGAAAATCCTCTCATGTATATAATTCAAAGATGTTAGAAAGTGAAACTGCAAATCTTAACTATATGATATCCGTTCACAAGTTTTTAAATTTGAACCCTTAAAAAATTCTTCTCAAATGATGACTGGATAGAAGTTATGAAATCCTTCATTAGAGTTTAAAGCTTTTACAAATTTTGCAACAACAAGTATGCATATGCATGTGACTTGTGCTTGGATTTGTTGCGGTTTATCCACACGGTGTAATTGTGGTGGCAGAGGGCTGCAGTATTGCATGGTGTGCCTTCAAATCTTAAATTGAGTACTTTTTAACAAGAAGAGTCACATAAAACTTTTATGGAAGAATTCTTCATCCCTCTTTTCAAATAGAGCTCTATCTATCTATTTACCTAACGCATTCCGTTTGTGACAGCCTTTTGATTTGGAAACCCCCCATAAAAAGTTCTGTGTGAATTCGAGATTCGATGTAAAATTTTATTTTTCGCCACAAGGAACTATATAATGTCCTATCTTGAACTTTATATGGTTATGTACTTTTATTTTTCTTGGATGCTTTGAGTGGCCGTCCTTTGCTGCACTAGACTTCTCGAGAATAAGTACCAAAAATGATTAATCATTTTGTGACGATGGAATGTGACCTTATTAGTTTGACCTATTATGCTACTCTGATTGATTTTTATGTTCTGATGTGAATCTGGATGTTTTATTGGCCACATGAGGCATAATTCAATCAAGCTTTTCATTTGGCATTTTCGGTCTGATTAATCCGTGGCGTGTATGTGTTGATTTTTTTTTTATGTGTTTATTTGGTTGTATGTATTTATAGGACCCAAGTTTGGTGCAGTTTTCCATGGATAATGAAATTTATCTAACTTGGGAAGTTGGACAATTGGCTGAAGCAAGGTCTTTCCAGCATGGTTATCGTGGTGCGTGGTTTCGGTGCAAGGTAATGTACAAATGTAGAATGTGAAATTCATGTTTTTGTGGAAAGTATATGATGTAGGGAAGCGTACGAGTGGGAAAGATAAACGAGATACTCTCTCGAAAAAACTCACAATCAATTCATATTTAATTTCAAAATCAACTTAGTAAAATAAACTAAAGGGAGTCCTTTAAATAAGACCCCTAATCCTAAACCTAACTTAATCACCAAGAAAGCTACTAAATAATAATACTATAATAATAATAATAGCAATAACAGCGAAGGGGTCAGCCTCGACGTGCGGGGGTGGAAAATTGTCGAAGGAATTCACCTCCGAGACTGTCTCCTCGCCGTCTTCGTCGCCGGATGCTGGTTGTGGAGATCTCCAGCGGGGCGCCCCGCCTGGACCACGGCCTCCACGTCCTTCGCGAATTCCCTCGCACACGCCCCGGTTGCCGGCATCACGGTACGTTTGCTTGTCCCGGACCATGGTACGGATAGTTAGACGTATGTCCCCGATCTCCGCGGACAGATCTGCAATCTGACGACCCATCGTATCGAGCTGGCGGCCAAACCATTTGGTTCGGTGGCTAAGGTTGTAGATGGCGGCGACACGCCTGTCGTTTGCAGCATCTCGTCTTTGCGACAACATCGTGAATCGTGCTGACTTCTGATACCAACTGATATAGGGAAGCGTAGTACAATTGGGGAAGAAGATGAGATACTTTCCCATTCGTACGCTTCCCTACATCAGTTGGTATCAGCAGTCAGTACGATTCGCGATGTCGTCGGGACGACAAGATGCCGCAAACAGACAACGTAATGCAACCTTCAACGATTGTTAACAGATTGACTACCGATTTCAAGAGTTGGACGTGCGTTTCACGGATTGGTTTGCCGATCTTTTGATGGGGATCGAGGATTTGCATTTGACGCTTAACAACGTGGTTGTGTCGGAATTGCAAACGAACCGCGATGGAGCTGTGGGCCGTGGCTTTTGCGGGGGAGACAAAGGCGGTTGTGTGGGATGCAGCCATGTCGGGGCGCCCCTGCAGCTATCCCCGCCACCTCTAAACGACATTGTGGACGGCGACGATCAATGCAGCGACATGGGCTGGCGCGAGGAGGCAGCCTTCGCTGGCGGATATCGTGCCCGACGGGAGTGGAGACTTGATCGCGAATATGGTCATTCGGAGGGCCTGTTTCGCGTTGATATCCCCGAATTCGATAAAGAGCAAGTTGACGGACCATTGTATGACGGTCCGCCGATTTTTTATGAAGAGCCTCCGAGGCCCGAGGTGACGCTTTCTGATTTTGGCTTGTGTAGGCCACTGGAAAAATATTCATTTATGTTACTAGAGGTTGCTGATTTTATTACTCCGTATTCTAAAAATGAGCGCCACGGGCATTCGGGCACAGAAACTGCGCTACAACAGTGGAAACGCAATCATGTTCATTGGCATATTCTATAGTGGGGACACTTGATTATTTGGCGCCAGAGGTTTTGTTAAAGAAAGGGATGACATGTCGCAAGATAATAAATTGGAGAACATGTTTGAAGTTCCCTGAAGAACAAAAAATGTCTTTATGAGGCTAAGGATCTGATCCTCCATTTGTTATGTGAGGTTGAGCGACATTCAACCTTCGTGTTCGACCGGGGGAAATGACGGGGTTTGCTACCATGAGTTCAACACCACACGACGGCCACGAGAGCGCATCGGCTTCGAGGGCGAAGCCTTCCTAACTGGGGGAGAATGATGTAGAATAATATTAGTATTATTATTATTGCTATTATTATTATTATGATATTATTATTTAGTAGCTTTCTTGGTGATTAAGTTAGGTTTAGGATTAAGGGCCTTATTTAAAGGACACCCTCTAGTTTATTTTACTAAGTTGATTTTGAAATTAAAATATGAATTGATTGTGAGTTTTTTCGAGAGAGTATCTCGTTTATCTTTCTCACTCGTACGCTTCCATATATCAGTATATCTCGGTTTTCATGCCTTGAACCTGTGCACTTGTGTATACTCTTGGATGGATTTCTCTCTGACACTGTGACTTTGTACTTTGTGGATTTTCTTTTCAAAGCATAGCCTCAGCACATACTATTACAGTGTAGTTCCTTTATAAAGATAGCGGTGAACCGGCATTTCTTTGGTACCTTTGGAATATTTATTTTCAACGGGATTTCAATATTAGATGGTAAGAGTTTTTACACAATACATTGTATTTTTATATTTTTTTCTGACAGACTTCATTTTGCTGATTGTGAGTCTTAACGGATTGGTTGATTACTTTGTTTTCTCTGTCAATCTTGTAAAGCATCTACTTTTTTTCTGTTTGGTTTTTGTTGCGTAACAATGTTAGTGATTATACTGTACAGAAAATCAATTGCAGCCTTTATAAGATATGAACTCAGGCCACATTAAGTTTGATATATATACACACACATATATGTATGTCTGTGTGTATGTGCTATGTTTCAGTGTTCTTTGTTTCCCAAGTATAACATTTACTTTTTCCAAAATTGTCTGTATTTACACAAATCTTTGTTTTCTCAAAGCAGATTATAGGGGTTCGTGAGACAAATGGGCACATTGAACACGTCCATTTAAAATATTATGACTTCACTGATGATCATAGTAAGTCTCTGTAGTTCCCTTGAGACATTTCAGAATTTGTGATTTATCTGTTGCAATATGTATTAGAGCTGTTGCAATATAATATGTATTACTTGTAATAATTTAATATCACATGGCTTCCCCTCATATTTGTTTCGAGAGATTTTTATTTGAATGGTTTTCCCCTAAGAGTCGCCGGAAGTTCTATTCTAAATACTTCATGGTAATAGTGTTGGGTTCCGTGAAGAACATCTATATTGTACTAGTTGGAAGTGTCAACGAATTAATCCTAGGCTCTGCGATCTAAAGATTAGAATTGAATGCTTACGTTTACACGGTCTACGTTTACCGCTGTTGTATTCCTGACACCGAGTTCGTTCGTCTTCGTGGGCAACAACCTCAAAATCTCCCTTCAATGTCTTGCACGATTACTTTGGGAAAGAAAGAAGATCTTGTGTTTTGGGACACTATCTTTTTCTCTCACAAGCAAAACTCACGTGTGTTTGTATGTGAAGAGGGGCGGCCGAAATCGTTAAGGGGATGGTGTATTTATAGGTTATAGCAAGGACATTGAGGAGTGTTAAATAAAGACTTCCGATGTAAACAAGCAACTTAGGTTTTGGTCCACCTACACTCATTACACATGAATATTGAACTTCCTATTTAACCCTCAAATTATATTTGAGGCTCCATATTAATCTACTCGATTTGTCTCCCCATGTTTAAGATATAATGTTCGTTAATTAATTTAATTAATTATGGATAATATTATTAATTAACTTCTTGTTCAGCAAATAGTACCAATCAATTATTTATTATTATACCGGAATTCAATTTGCGTGCAGGGCTTTGGTATACTAATCCTTTTTTATAGCTCATTTCGTGGACATCATCAAGCTGGCGTAACTACAAACAATGTCCATAAATCAAATAACACACCATACAAACAACATTATTTCCCAACTCATCCAGATTGTTGACTTAACAGGAATCAAGGAAATATCTACTGACTGCACGTGTCTTATTATCTCACGGGTTAGAGAACAAGTAATAACCTGAGATGTAGCATATATGTTTGGTCAGTACAGAATAACCTTATCCCCACAAGCCTGTCCAATACACTCTTAAGTGCACTAGTGTAATTTATTAGTCAAGACCATCCAATTCCAAAATTACTCTACAACTGTCTTCTATAGTTCGTTCAGTTCTATCTAGGTTGTGACCAAACTTTAAGTTTTACAAGGAATCGGCACTATGATCTTTCATCATCCATAACCATATCTATCTATAATGTACAAAATAGATCATAAACGTATTTAATTAAACATGATTCTCATTCAAACGGAAATAAGTTCGTAACAGAGTCAAGCTTTTAGTATTCATGCCAACAAATATTTCAAATATTTAATAGTTTGATTATTGACGTGAGATCGTGCATGCATTTCCAGTAGTTGACTGGTATTTGGATTACGTTATACGGTGATTTTAGCATTTAGATAGTTTAGGTTTTTTCACCCACAGTGGTTAACAGACTTGCTCATGTCCTGGAGGTGCTGGGCCCTGAAAAATCCTCTCTGTTATAAAAGAGGAGCATTCATGTCTATATTATACTCATAACCACCTAAACTTTTGAAAAATTTTGGTTCTCCAACCCAATGAATTCATGGTGGATTATTTTACTCAATCAGATTAACATTTTTTTTTTTCAACTAAACATAAAAAAAGCAAATATTTTGTCCAGTCTTAAAACACTACTGACTATTGATTGAGAAAACACAATCAGACATTTATGTACACTTTTTAGTGTGCTGCCTTTTGATGTCTATATTGTATATCATGCTAAGATATACCCAAGTAATTCGTGCTTATGCTCACGGATTGCGGGTTTTATTTGTACTCCTTATTCTTAACTTTAAAACATTATGGTTAACGTCCCGATCTTTATCTCAAGAGTGTCCATATCTATAAAGTAGAGTTATAGTTACTGGGTGTTGGGATTATAAAGTGGCAGAAGAACATAAGCATATATTGGAAGTTGTTGCTTGAATTTTCCCCTTTTATATTTCTGTGGCCTTGAAGCAAGGAGTCAGATGTGAGAATGATAGAAGATTATAACTAGGAATTAGGCAGTTGTAGTCAAATGAAAGCATGTGTTTTTTCTACCATTGTATAATCTCCGTGATATGATTAACTTGAGGAGTCAATTTCTACATTGTTGCTTTCTGCAGAGCCAAGATGGTTGAAGCTATATCAGGTGACCCCAAATAGGAAATATAACGAATTGATGCTGAGGCCATGTTACCCGCCAATTTATAATGCTAAGGAAATTCCTCATACTAGTGAAATATCTGAGGTGTCAGTAATTTTTGATGGTTCATGGAAGGTGGGAGATTTTGTGGACTGGATGTTCAGTGATTGCTATTGGAGTGGAACAATAACTCAGTTACTGGGTGGTGGAAAGGCTGAGGTATGAAGTTCCTGGATTTTTTTTATGTGTTTGGTGGATTTAGTAATTTCCGAATTTTTCTGGAATGGAAAAAAGTGGAAAATTATTACGTACGGTATGCTTGGATATAAGTTTGTAAATTGGATATTTTTTTTTTTTTT